CTGCCAAAAATATGTATTTTACATTGGTTCATAAGGAAGTAATCAGGCATACCCAATTGAGGGACATTTTGTTAAACAGTTGAGCTAGATTTTTTGAAAATATCCATGTCATGAAAAGACAATTTTTCTAGACTAAAAGAGACTAAAGGGACTTGTAAACCAAATACAGCGCGGGGCTGGCAGGTGATGAGGTCGTTAGGGCTCTGGACTCCCACATGGCTGACCGCCGGCCGAGTCCCAAACCTAGCAGCTTGCTTTCTTGCTTTCCCTTTCTCTCTCTCTCTCTCTCTCTTTCTCTCTCTCTGTTGCTTTGGTCACATTGAAAATACCAATAATGGGGAACCAGCAGTTAGCGTAATGGCTATGTCGCTGGACTCCCACATAGTCGACCGCGGGTCATGTCCTGGACCCGGTGGCTTAAAACTCATGCCGAGCACGTGTGCATGCGTGCCCAAGATCCCGAGAGGAAATTGGAGGAATGGGAGGTGTGACCATCCCCCCTGGGGGGTGATTTCTCGCTTTCTATCTCTATGTCTCTCTCTGTCTGGCGAGCACACGCGCCCTATAGTGAAAAACCTCTTACAAAAAAAAGAAAATACCAATAATGATACATAAAATAAAGGAAAAATTCTTTAAAAAAAAGACAAACCAAATAAAATGCATGATTTTTGATAAATAAAATTGGATGTGGTCTATATATTCATAGTCTTGTTTAATTTTATAAGTGTGATATTTGTCTTTTAGTTATATGGGAGCTTATTTCACATACTGAAGTATTTAGGAGCAAAGTGTCACAAGTAACTAAATCACAAATAGTCCAGCTATAACTTGTATGTTTGTGTGCATGTGTGAAGGAGAAAGAGAAAGTCAATGTGGCAAAATATTAACAATTGCTGAGTGTAGTTGTAAGCTACATGGTTCTACTTTGTATTTTTTGAAAAATACTAGTTTTATAGAGAAATAATCTAAATACCATAGCATCCACCCTTTTAGAGAGTTCAGTGTGGTTTTAGTATATTTGCAGTTGTGCATCCATCACCACTATCAAATTTTACAACATGTCCATCACCCCAGAAGAATTCCTGTATTCATTAGCAGTCACTCCTCCTTCCTCCACCTGCCAAATCCTGGCAATCACAAATCTATTTTCTGTATGCATTTGTCTGTTTCCTAGACATTTCATATAAATGGGATCCTATAATATGTGACCTTTTGTGACTAGCTTCTCTGATCTAGCGTGTTTTTAATGCTCATGCATATCGTAGCATGTTGTCAATTCATTTCTTTTTTAAAAAAATATTTTATTGAACTTTACTTATTTATTTATTTTAATTTGACCAGAGAGGAACAGAGTGAGAGTGAGAGAGAAAAAGTGAGAAAGCAAGTTGCCAGGTCCAGGACTTTAAGTGCAGTCGGCCATTTATGCCCTTAACCACCACCCCACCTGCCAGTCCCCCTCATTCTTTTTATGACTAAGTATCAGTAATACCCATAGACCACATTTTGTTTATCCATTCTTCTGTTGATGGACACTTAGGTTATTTCCACATTTTAGGTATGATTTATAATGTTATTTTGAACATTCTAGAACACATTTTTGTGTGAACATATATTTTCATTTCTCTTTAGTATATACCTAGGAGTGGATTTTGCCAGAACTGCCAGGCTGTTTTTCAAAGCATGTACCACTTCAGTCTGCCATCTCTATGAGGGTTCCAGTTTCTCCACTACTTCATATTCACACAACTTCTAGAGTTTGGGAAATTTTCAAAATTTTCAAAATAGGAATGGGGTGTACTGATAGTACTGAGTTGTCAGAAGAGTCATGACACTATTTTTTTTAAGAGAGATTTTTGCTGTAGGGCACGTACGCTCACTGGAAAGACAGAGAGAGAGAGATAGAAAGTGAGAAATCATCCTGCAGAGAAGATGGCCATGCCGCAGTCCCTTCTCTATCCTCCTCTTGGGATTTTGGGCATGCACACACATGTGCCCGGCATGAGTTGGAAGCCACTGGGTCGGGGACTTGAACCACAGTCGACTACATGAGAGTCCCATGACGTAATCATTATGCTGTCTGCTGGTCCCCATGATGTATTTGCATAGAAAAAACACATTGTGACTTTTCTGACAACCCAATATATAAATTTAGCTTTACTATTCATTATTTTATTAAAAAGTTAGCATATTCCTTTTAGAGATAATACTGCAGCTGAGATGTTTATTGTTTTAAATATGATACAAGTAATGAAAAGTGCATTTAGAAAAGATGCAAGAAATGGAATTGTGGCATTGACCTAGTGGAAGTCTCACACAGCCAGGACCAAGATGTGTGGGTAGCACAGGTGAAAATGGTGTCAGCTCTGTTTATCTGGAGCACATCTCTTGGTGCTGGTATCAGGAACAGAATCTCCAGTTGTTGGTTTAAGATAGTTTTTCTCAATTTTCAACTGCTTTTTACACTTAAATGCATTTAAGGAGACCTTATTACAGAAGAATATCCAGTATAACTTTTTATGAATACATGATCAAGATATATATATATATATTTTTTTTAATTATTTATTTAATTTCATTTGTCATTCCTTTTTTTTTTTTTTTTTTTTTGAACTTTTTGAGAGAGAGAAAGGGAAAGCAAGAAAGCAAGCTGCCAGGTCCGGGACTTGAACTGTGGTCGGCCATGTGAGAATCCAGCACCCCCAGCCACCACGCCACCTGCCAGCCCCTGATGTATATATTTTTAAAGGCAAAAAAACCCTAAAAATGAGAAAAGTTATCAAACCAATATATCTAATTTACGAATGAAATTCTATAGCTGGGCTGGACTGTCGTGCAGCAGTAAAACATACTGTCTACGAGGCAGACCCATATCAGAAAGTTTCTAGTTCAAGTCTAGAGCCCTTCCTGAGTATCCTAGTGCATGTCTGTACACGATTCAGGGCTGATTGAAGGCTAGAAATGGATCACAGTGTCAGACCCTATTGCAGGTGCTTCCTTTCTCTGTCTGTGTCTCTTTCTCATTCACAGAAGAGATAAACTTAGAAAAACTATGCCTGACCATACGTGCCCATGACATATTTGCTGCCTCTGTGATCTGTGACTCACTCAAGATCGATGGAGAAAGTGGCCAGTACTGTCAATGGCCACTTCTGAGTTCCACATCGTAAGACCTTGCTGGCTGGTTGTTGATGAGGTCTCAGTGCATGTGGACAGTATATATATTTCAAGTGGAGTTTGCACCATGGTTGTGGGAGGGGTAACCACTCTCTACTCTCTCCACCATCAGCTGGCTGTAGGTAAGAGCTAATAACATACAGATTTTCCACTCAGTACATCTCAGCCGTATTGGTAAGGACTTTGGGGGAATGGCCACACCACAATCCTTTTTCCTCCATTCTCTTGGGATCTTGGGCATACATGAACATGCGCCCAGTGTGAGTTTAAGCCACCGGGTCCAGTACTTTAACCGCAGTCAACTACATGGGAGTCCAGTGTCATGCCCATCATGCCAACTGCTGGTCCCGGTAAGGATTTTTTTTTGTTGTTTGCTAGATTGCATTTGTTCACTAGAAGGAGAGGCAGACAGAGGAAGAGGGAGAAAATGCCCCCAGGGTTGTAGTCACATCTCAGTCCCCTCCACTTTTCCATCCTACTGGGATTTGAAACAAAAACACTTGTTTTTCAAGTTGCAGAGGCTGGGATTTGAACTGCCTGGTTGACCATATGGAATCTGACTCTCTTAACCA